GTTCTATATGATCCCTATATTAATGTTAATTCCTGTTTTCCCTGACCCCCAGTAAGTTCAGGTGTCAGGCCGGCAGCCTAGGACTTGGTGTATGATTTCAGGGGTGTTTGGAGGTGGCTTACTGGTTTCCAGCTTGACTTACTGATGGTTAGCAGGGAATGGGGACTACCTAAACCCCTAAAGTAGGTAAAATAATTGCCCAAAACCCCTAAATATAGCCCAAAAGGCCATTATTCTACATACTTTGGGGGTCCAGGTGTATCCTTATTGCCCGACTTATTCTCCACCGGTAAGTAAGCGCCCGGAGCAGTCCTGGAATCTCCTCACGGGCTCAACATCCCCGTCAGCACCTTGTATCTTTACCTGGGTTGCTGTTGAGGAACTTAAATCAAAGGAAACTCAATTACTTACAATATACCTATAAGTTACTATCATGACGAAATACTATTACTTACGATATGCCCGCGTTGCGGTAACTTTGTTTGAGTTGCTTAACAACAACCCAGTAACACCTTCCTCATTGGCATCACCTGCCCAGGGATCTGCACCACAGTGGGAAGTACTGAGTTGCAAGGAGTGAACAGTTTCTGGTACGAATGACGAGGGGCTGAAGGATATAGGGACCCCTATGCGAAGGAAATTGTTACGGGGATGATTTTGCACACTAGTTACAGCCACAGGGAGGGCTATCAGGATTGCATGAAGCCAGACATGACGGAGTCTTGGATTGTTCCAGATCCAGCGCGTCTTGAACTTGTCTTAAGGTGTGTACTCTTATTGGCACCACAGTTGTATGGAGAATTTCTGAAACTGCTGTCTGTCATCCCCTCTGCAGAGGCATTGGGGGTTTGGGGGGATGTTGAGAAAGGCAACGGCACCGCAATGCTTCAATATACCTACTGCGCTTCTAGCATGCGCTAGCTCCCCCAGGCCTTATTTGCTCAGGGATATGACCACAACCACAAGCCCTGATCCTGAAGCCTACAGCACTGCAACAAGTTGGTGCAGGGAGAGGCCTCCTTCAGCCTCTACGGCTGATGCCGGTCCTGCAGGCTCTCTCAGGAGGTATCAATTCATATTACGTAAGGGTTTAGGGTTTAGGGATTAGGGATTAGGGTTTAGGGCCCAGGGGCTCAATAAACCTAGGATTTAGAGGTCGGGTTCTAAGATATCTGATGTAAGCTCTGGAGAGTTCTAAAAAGGGCTGGGGTTATCCGCACGGTCCAGCGAACAGGATACCGGTATCGTCCGAGCAAACTGCTTGTGCAACAACGCAATATTACCCCAATATACAACCCCTATATAATCCCAGTTTCCATTTCATTTTCCATTTTCTTTTCCATTTGATTCTCCATTATAGTAGTTTCCATTTGATTTTCCATTATCCCAATATTGCCGTAGTAGGGCTCAGGCACCGAAACCGTCTCATGTGGGCTGAGGACCCAAACCTCATCAAAGCACCATCGACAACTCCATCATGCCGTCACGCAATGCAATGTATGTGTTTGTGCCATGGCTATTCTTCGCTGATTGCGGTAAGTGCGTAGTGGAGTGAGAGCAGCAAGGGTGGCAAACGCAAGCTTGATAGGCAAGTTGAAGAGCTTGCCCGTCTCATGCACCAGGGGCACCTTTGATAATTGCTAGAAGTGCCCTCCAAAAGGCACACAGAGTAAGCGGGGTGCGTGCAATTTATATTCGCAAAACTACAATGCATGAACAACAATCTTGCAGCTCAGGCAGCTTAACTGGAGCGCATGATAACCACTGTAGGTAGTTGGAAAAGAACTTCTCTAGACTTGCGCCCAGAACGTGCCCACTCACCTTGCGCTAGCGCTCCTCCACGGCCAGCTTTTGCTGTCTTACCGCCCTTGGAGCCTCAGCTGTCCGAAGACTTCAGCTACACCGGGCAAGCCATGCTCTCGTGTTTTGGAAACTCTTGCTCATCCAGACCTGCTCAGGAACATGAATAAGAGCGGCGCCGCAGAGAAATGCTTTGCCTAAAAGCTCTACTGCGAATAGGAGATAAGAGGACCACCACCACATGTACTTTTGCTACCTTTTGGTGGCTGCAGGCGCACTTGACCCCGTCATGCGTGCATATGAGCGTAGCCTGGCCCTTACCATAAGATTCCTCAAAACAAATGGGGAGCCACATCGAAAGAAATCGTATCCAGGTCAATCAGCGTGTTTGCATGTGCCAGGACACTCGGCTGCAAGCTTGCGCTGATGTTATATAGAAGCTTCTGGATGAAAAGTGCTGCAACTTGTCGGATCATCTGGCAAGGCCCTAAATTGCTGGGTTGATGTGACACAGCGAAATGCAAGATATGCAAAGATTGCAAGCCAACATGGTGAACATTCCGTGTCTGCCTGGTTATATGAACAACGCTCATGCTGCAGAAATCTTCTCCCAAAGAGGTGTTATGGGGTCTCTGCCCTCGCCCGGCCCCAGATCTGAGACACTGGCCTTTCCTGAGCTGCAGATAGCTGCACATCCAGACTGCTTGCGCAACAAAAAGTTACTCGCGTGCCTTCGGTCAGCTTCAAGCAAGCAACCATTCTGGAGTAGAATCTGGTGGACATCGCAATCCAGCACGCTTACCAATTCCAACTTCATGTTGCCTAGGAGACGCCCTAGCACCCTGTCCAGTGCTTATCCTCACCACCACGACCATATGCCAGCAAGCAAGCCAGAGGGTAAGGCTGAATTCGTCCCAAGCATCTTGCCACCTTTGCCGGCGCGCTGGCTGACACTGGAGACCACAGGTCCCTGGTCCAACCTGCAGGGGACAAGTCAATAAACGAAGCGACCACAGAAAGATGCAAAGCAGGTTTGCTGATTGCCAAGAATACCCCATTTCACAGACCCTGAAGTCTGACTGGCTAATTTCAATTCTGATCTGCAACTGTTACAACCTGCGTGACTCATGCGTTCAAAAAAAGTGGCTTCTGCTTGCCGAGCTGCTTTGCCAGGTCCGGTGAGACCTGACGTGGTTTGCCAAAGGGGCTACTGCGCTACTGCTTCTTAAGCATGTATTCCAGAAGCTTGGTTGTAGGAGATCGGGAAAGTAGGTGCAAACTGCGGCAACAAGAACTACAAACGATCAGAAACAAATGTGAAACAAATGTACTCAGAAAGAGCCGGGTCTCTGCTGCACATCTACTTGACAGAATATACTATAGGTACCTTAAGTTCATCTGGGCTTCAATCTCTGACTCCTGTCGTTTCCGCCTGGATTGTACTTTCCTGCGTAATCTCCCAAACTACAGCAAACAGCTCATTACAGTCAAAAAGAGCTCAAGGCTCAAAGTTGTTCCATGAGACACCGAAGGAGCTGCTTTCGGCCCCGGAGGGCTTGTCCCGAATTACGTGCTGGCCGCTGGCCACTTGCTGAGACCATAAACATCCCTGGTATGCAAAACGTAGCGCCTGAAGGAATAAATCGGTGCTCTGAGGCACATGACGCTGCAGATGTGTGGCAGGTACGTGAACGACAGTTCTGATGCATATCAGCTTCAAATCATGCAGGCCCATGTAGGGATGTCGGGATGACTGGTCCATTCAGTATCATTCAGTGCATTCATGTTTCTGCAACATGCGCGCTCCAACAGAGACGCCAGAAATGCATGATGAAGCCCTGCTGCCTTTTGACCGGCTGCTCGCAAGAGCTTGATGAGGTCATGGGCATTGCCTTCAACAAGAGTTGGGGGAGCTGCTTTACTTGCAGTTGGTCGATAGAGGGCTTCACGTGAGGCACGGAGGTTGTTTAGATGCATGGTGGTCTGTGTAGCTATGCCTTTGGGACCCGAAGAATCTTCTTGAATCTGCAGCAAGCCTCGTGTCACTACAGCCAGCAAACGTAGCCAATAGAAACCTTGTAGCTGTCACCAGCGTCCCTTATGTGACAGAGGAATGAGAACTTAGAGATGCCCTTGGCTCATCTGCGCTTGCTCCAACTCCTTGTAGCTTCAGGCTGTGCAAACCTGCAGCTTCATTGAGGACTTCGCACAAGCTTGTCAGAGGTCTGGCAGAAGCTAGAATCCTTTTGCCCTCACAGACAAGCTTCCGAAGGTCTGACGCGATCGCAATGCCTTCGCAACGCTGGGTTGGGCTATGTCTGAGAGAGCGCGGCCCCTTCATACGTCCAAGGTTTGCGACAACAGGCACCCCACGGCATCCATGTTTTGACACACACACACACAGACACACATAGCCCCCATATGAACAACCGTTCGTGACCGGGGCTAATTAAGACACCGCCGGTCCGAATCCATGAGCCCGCTAGCAGATGAAGCGTTTGCGTTCCGGAAGTTACTTCTCCGCTTCCTTCTGAAACAAGGCTGCCCCGTCGGGTTCTGAACGCCAGTCACTCCGAGGCTAGTCACCTTCAAACTTGCACCGCACGTAGTTGTGCTACAAAGAGCCCCTCAGTCCAATGCTTCAAGAAAAGATAGCGTCACTCAGCGCAAGTCTACAGCAAGACTCATCTTGGGCCGGAAGAGCAACTTTGCTTTCATCAATCTAACCATATTTGCAAGTTGTGCCAAAAAAGTGGCCAAAGCTCATGTACAAGCCCAGGAGCCCTTAGAAAAACAAACAACAACATGTATAGCGGTATATCACCTATCTATATAAGCGGTTGTCCAACATAGTTTAGAAAATGCTGCTCCCCAGTCTCCATATCTTGAATCTGGAAGCCTGTAGCTTGAATCCTGTGTGAGTAATATGCGTGGCAGTGCAGGATGCTTCATCTGCTACGACTGCAGGTGCAATTGGCATCGCCTTTGGCGCTGCCTGTCAATTTTTCCGCGAGCCTTGGGAATGAGAGCTTCCCTTTGTGCAATGGTGTTACGGGAACTACGAAATCTCAGAAGGAACCCTTTCAAGATTTGTAGACTCTTCCTGAAAATGAGTGCAAAAGGGTAGAAAAACGTGATACTCTTTCTCTGGTCTTGTAACTTCCTCATTAGCAATGCCGTTGTTGTCCAAGTCAAGGCTGTCAGAAACCACCCTGGCGCCGGCCATGACCTGTCTGTGGCTTCGGCTGCCGCTTGTTCCATCGCTTGGGGCCCTCGATGATCAGCATCTTGGCCTTGGTGCGAGCGCCGTACTTCATCTGCCGCTCCTCCAGCTTCTTCATGCGCGTCTCCTGGTGGGGCGAATGCGCATGTCTTCAAGCACCATAGAAGTGACCCAAAGGGCTACCATACAACCGTTCCTCCATCAATCCCACAGACCAAAAGGTAATCAACCGCAAAGGCAGCGACCTTGGCTAAACCCGGAGCCCTCTGAGCAGAGTAACCCAGCCCAGAAGTCCTCGAGCATGGATTTCGGCGGGCTGGCAATCCCAATTCCCACCTTCAAACCTCTATTCAACACACACCACCCCTCACTCCAAGCACCGCAAAATATTGAAAATATTTGGGGGCGGTTCGTCAGCTCGTCTCCTTAGCCTGCTTGGCACGCTGCTTTCGGAGCCATGGCTTCTGCTTCAGCTTCTGACCTTACTCTGCAATTCCAAGAAGGAAGCAATGTGAGTGCGGTAGGAACTGCTGGGAATGAATAGTCTTCTTCGCACTTCAATAAGAACTGCCCTGCCTTTGTGTTACCTTAAGCTATATAGTCCCTTGAGACAATAGCTTCGCGTCTAAAAAGCTCAGGGTGCAGAGCATGAGAACAGCCTGAAAGTGAAAGGTCAGTTGCTATGCTTCTTAGAGACGGTCCCGCAGCTTCTTCTCGTTCTGAATCTGCTGGGCAGTCTTCCTGAGGTAACATCTTCTGTCTTTTTCAGCAATGAATTTTGTGGGTCGGCTTCCAGGGTACCACACAACCAAGTACTTTCATCTTGAGATATCTTCCACGTGCTTGAACATGTGACTTGACAGGAGAGATGGTAGTTTCCCAAAATACGGGGACCCCAATATAGACTCCAAAATACTATAATCCTTATTATGGGGACCCCCCAAAAAGGTACCCCCCAATTTGGAAAACCCCCCAGATGGGAAACTTAATAATAATAGTAATAATAATCGTAATAGTAATAATAACACTAATAACAATACGAATAACAAACAAATAATACAACCCTAAAATGAGATGGGAAAATGTATAATAGTAATAATGACAATAACAATGAATAAACAATAACAATACTAGTAACAAAATAAATGATATAACCCTCATTCCCTAATATGAGATGGGAAAATCAATAAGGTACAGCTCAGCTTCAGCTCCGAAGAAGCGCCGGCGCCTTCTGCCACAGAGTCCAACCTGAATTTGCTATTCCCTAAGGGTCCAAGGACCCAAATAATAGGGTTTTAGGGCTCAGATAGTACAGTATTTGGGCCCTGAAACCCTGTGATTTGAGTCCTTGGACCTTTAGCGAGGTTGTAGGTGGAGGATTCTACATGCTAATAGTCCAGCAGTACAAGGTTAATAAGGTTCAGGAATTAAGCTGTGTATGGTTGAGCCAATGGAAATCCTATCATCCTGTCACGGGTCTCTGTGTTGGCTGCTCTGATGTCATTAAAATCCAGAAAAATTGATGGAACCAAATCCTTAGAAGCTTCGCCCGCTTCTTCAAAGCCCTCTTCTGCTTGTGCGTGAGGTGCTCCTGGCTCACTTTGCCATGGAAGGGAACCTCGGTTCAATGTTAGGTAAGCATGTTGCAAAACCTCATCTTAACAACGGCCCAAAAGTGCAAAGCTGGAAAGCCGGTACTACAAAGGACCCGATGCGATGGGTTTTCGGGAGTTCGAGGAATCCACCGGCGCGGCGTTCTCGTCGAAGTCGATCGTCTTGGACTCAGACTTCTTCAGTCTTCCCAGGGAGTTGGAGGGATCCTCCACCTCCCCTACCTTCTGAATGCGTCGCTTTGTAGCCTTGGACCATTTTTGGTATGCATTGCTTTTCTCCTTCTCTCCCTTAACCTTCTTTCCACTCTCATTACGCCGTTGACCCTTCAGCGCGCGGCCATCCACAGAGACCATGGTGGGCAGGTACTTCTTCCGCTTTGCATCCCACCGGATGACACTCTTGGCTTTCTTGATGTCCGAAGCATCATCTGGCAAGAGGTCCATCTGGTACTGCTCCATGTCATAACCACGCTCCCGAGCCTCCTCTGTTACATCGCGTTCCGTGCTTAGGTAGAACTGCTCCGTCTTTCCACCATTAGCCTCTGGATCCCCGCCATCGTTGATGGTGATGTCAAAGTCCCCATCGCCAGCTTCTGGCCCATCCGCATCTCCTGCCTTCAGACGTCGCCGTGCAGCCTTCGAAAGGTGTGGGCGGCTACGCTTCACCGCCTTAGGCGGCGCGGGTGCTGCAGGCGCTGATCGCTTTGAAGGATGTGCACGGCGTGGGGCAGAAACGGCTGAGGTTTCGGCCAAGATTGCCTCTTGCGTATCCCTAGACTGGATAGCTGCTGCATCCAACTTCTCCTGCTCCATAGTGCGCATGGCGGAGAAGGACAACACATTGCCAAGCTTCTCAGCCTTTGGCCGATAGCCCCGAAGGTTCCGCAGGTATGCCAGGTCGGAAGAGACTGCAGGCGTTGTTGGCGTACTTTTTTCGGGTTGAGCTTTCGACTGGGAGCCGAGGCCTGCAGCAAAGGCAGGGTGGATGAGGCTTTGGAGGTGCGCGGGGCCGCCACAATCCGAAAGAAGCCGCTTAGCCCGAGCAACAGACGAACGAGAGGCTGAAGGCCGTGTCTTGTAGTAGAGCTTGTATGAAGCCTGCATGGATCTTTGCAAGCTCTGGAGCAATGAGCCCTCTTCAAGCAAGGCACCAAGAGCCTCAACTTCATGATCCACGGAAGGCATGGCACCCAGCACTGGTGCTGCCTGCCCTTCCGCATCCTCTGTGCCTTCAGCACTCTCTGCAGGAAGACGCAGCTTGTGGCCTAAGAAGGTCATGAGCTCCACAGTGTAGGGGAGGTCGTCTAAGGTGACCAAAGATGCAGCGAGGCCACTGCGGCCTGCACGAGCCGTCCGCCCACACCTGTGGATGAAAAGCTTGGCACTTGCGGGAAAGTCAAAGTTCACCACATGGTCCAGCAGGGGGATGTCAACGCCCCGTGCCGCAACGTCCGTGGTCACCAGGATCAAAGCCTCTTTCTTCCGGAAACGTGCCACCTGCTCACGTTTTAACAACACTTCTTATACCCGCAATAATGACAATCTTGTTAACGTCACAAGGTCCCGCAACAACTAAGTTGCACTGCCAACAAACCACCTGTTCCTGACGGGCTGTTTGATCCATCTGTCCGTAGACCACCGCCACGGACAGGCCTAGCTGACGCAGTAGCTCGTTGAAGAACTCAACGTGGTGCTTTGTCGCGACGAACCTTGGCTTAGGACGGCAGGTGAACCTTCCTGTGGTGACGGCTTTCCACAAAGGAAACATGAATACACGGCCCAGGGACAAGAATAAAATCAGCGCCCAACATCGACAAATTCTGTCACACTTGACTGTTGGCCCTGAGTTTAACCCGACTCTTGTCATGCTGTTGAGAAGACGGCTTGCCACCTACAATCCCCTTAGTGGTTCAGATCATCTTGGCATGAATGTGCTGCCTGAAGCAATGTTGCCAGCGGTCCTCCCGTGCAGCCTGGGGACATAATGGTGGTCTTACCCTCGTTGTGAAAGCGGCGCAGCACCGCAATGGCCGCTGCAAGCTTCTCATCCTGTCGGACGAAGAGGTACCAGAGGCTGAGCTGCTCAGAGAGGGAGGTCTCCGCATCAAGCCGCACAAAGGCGGGATCTTTGATGCCAGCACGCGAAAAAGCTACCAGCTGTTGAGGTAAAGTGGCAGAAAAGAGAAGAACTTGGCGGTTGGGGGGCGTCGCCTCCAAGACCTGCTGAAGCTGTTCGGCGAAACCCAACTCAAAGAGTCGGTCCGCTTCATCAAAGACTAATACTTCCACACGCTGGAGGCTAAGCTCAGCCTCTGCGATGTGGTGCGTCAGTCTCCCGGGTGTGCACACCAGCACATCCGGATTGTTGGCCAAGTGCTCGAACTGGGCCTCAAGAGCTTGGCCGCCCACCAGCACGCAAATGCGCAAGTCTAGGAACTTAGCCATCTGCCGACAGGCCTTCACAGGGACAAGCATTGCAGGGCATCTCACTCCCAAAGTCAGCCGGGCCGGCAGGCATCGTGAAAACAATTGACAGCAGTAGAGAAACACAGTTGCACTTCTAGCTTGAGTGGTTTCTTGAGTATGTACCACGTGACTTCCAGTAACTGCTTCTTCGGACTGCGAGTTCCCAGTAAGGTTTGACCAGATGCCTGTGTTCACTTGATCTAGGATCCCCACTCCAACCTGTGATCTAGCTTTGCTCTTTGGCTTGCACCGCCTCGAAAATAAGTTGAGCTTTTTTGAGCCCTCCTACTCTCGACCAGATGAACGCTCAGAATCACAGAAACTTGTCTGAAAGTTGGTTCCTCAAGCGCTTCTTGCTCCCCGAAATAATGCTTTCCAGAAGAACCTACGACCTTCTTAACCTCGCTTACTGGGAGGGGGAATGTTTCCCCAAAAAAGGGGGACCCCAATATATACCCCCAAATCCTATATATTCCTTATTATGGGTACCCCCAAAACCCTACACCCTTAACCCTAAACCCATAACTTTGGGAAACCCCCCATGTACCCCTTTTACCCTGCAATTTTCGCGCCTTTGCCGTCTGCAAGGCAAGCTCACGGGTGGGAGAAAGGACCACGGCCCGAGAGCCCACGCTCTCCTCAGGGAAAGTCCGGGTTTCCAAAAATGAGGGTTTAGGGTTTAGGGTTTACGGTTTCCGTTTTTTGAAATAAGGGCTTTAGTATTTTTGGGGCCCACCTCAGGGTGCCCCTATTTGGAAAAATTAGGGATCCGATTTCTTTGGGTGTCCTCATAGGTTTAGGGTTTTGGCTTTAGGGAGATAAAATATTGGGGTCTAGATTGGGGACCCCTATATCTGGAAATCCTTTTAAATGCTATCCAGGTCCTTTATGACAAAACCTGGCCTACTTGCTATCCCGGATGCATGCTCCACCACTCCCCCTATCTATACAACAGCAAAAACATGAACTTTCACAGTGACAGGAAGACACCGGGGGAACAGATAAATCCTACCAAGAGTCACCTGGACTCTTTGAGATACCAAAGCATTAGGTACAAATCCCCTTTCTTGTAAGTACATCGATTAGTCTAGGTATACCCTGGAAGCTTTCCCCAGCTCTCCGAGTGCTTCTGCAGACGCTCGAGGATGGGGATCACGAAGGCAGCAGTTTTCCCAGAGCCTTCAACAATCTGGCTGGGTGCTTATACAAGGAGAGGCGATGTAACAATGAGTATATGGAAGGTATAGGGGAACCGTGAGGAGTCTGTCGATGTATGCTGTTTAGGCCATACTGGCAAGGACTGCTTCCTTGTGGGGCATGTCATGTAATAGGGGCACATCCCAGATTGAGGAGAGCAATTTTCACCATATTCAGTTTGTACCAACAACCCCTCCGACGTAATGAGTCCTCAGCCACAAACTGTAAAGCCTGCGCCCAGGACCCCCGACCGCAAAACGGCCCCAAGGCACCTGTGCGGGCCATGGCTACCGTATCCTGACCCTCCAAAATCACTGGAATCGCCCTTCGCTGCACCGGCGTCGGCACCTTGTAGCCCAGGCCTCTGCTGTCAAAGCTTGACTCATAAATTTGAGTCCATGCGACGGGTCCCTAGACTTTCCCTGGCAAGACACCATCTAGACAAAACTGGACTAGCGCAGCATGCAATCACCCTGTTCCCACGAAACGCAGCCAAGGCGGCGCATGATGGCTTTGAAGACGGGAGGGCTCAAGCCCAAGCCTTGGAAAGACCCGGGCTTCACCTTCTTGGCCTTTTTCTTTGGGCCAGTTTCTTCCACTTCCTCACCGGCATCCTCCGGTGCCGGCGCCATGGGAACGGCGTCTTACTGGCACAGGATGGGCCCTAAAAGGCGAGTGAGGCAGCCAAAATGCTTAGCTTGGTTGCGCTGGAAGGGTTGGAGGCATGACCAGCTGGCGTGTATGGTTTTCCGACACGCTTATCGGCAGATGCCCAAGATCTATGGCAAAGGGAGCCCAAAATGATGCGGAGACAGGTAGCATCCATGCTGCTTCAGGAACAGTTGCCTTTGCCTCCACTTAACAACATTCATCGCACATATCAAGAGGATAGCATTGTTTCCACGAATGTTTCACTGGCGCTCTGCTGATACTAGTGGAAAAATGACACCAAGGAAAGTCAACGAACCGTCAGACATGATCGGAGTGGATCATATGCATCGCCGCAGCGGGAAGTACATGAAGCTACAGCATCGCCAACATCATCACCATCATCATCATCCTCATCACCATCATCATCATCATCCTGATCATACCTCACAGGACCCATACATACATGGTAACCCAGCCTCCCGCTCAACCTCCTAGATACCAAGAATGACTGCCGCCCATGAAAAACAGCAAAAACATGCAATTGCTTGGGCTCCTATTTCAAAAAATAAGGGTTGTGTCGTGAGCTGCCGGTCGCAGAAGACAGGACAGCCTGCCGAACGCGTGCCCGACACATCCTCCGGTGCTGGGAAAAAGGTGACCTCACTGACTTGATGGTTGGCGGCATTTTGCGTAGGGTGTTTGGAAGTACCACACCGAAAGATGCGGCAATTCTCGAACCTCAACCCCTAAAGTCTTCCATCTCATAACCATTACCAAGATTGAACCCAGTAACTTTTTGGAACCCGTGCTGCTGTTAATCCTAAAGTCTGACCACCCAAAACCCCAAAACCCTAAGTATGCGCAAAGAACTGGCTGTCATTCGACATGGTGGGCTTATGAGTTCCAGTCATGAAGCCTGCAAAATCCATTCACCTCCAATGCTTAACACACCTGCCAACTACAAAAGAAAACAGATGCATACCCACATGCAAGCTGTGCGACAGAATCAACCATGGATTTGGATATAAATAAATTTGTTCCCACACTTCCTGGACATCCAAAGCCCCTACCACACCCCAAGAATCCACGCGCCAAGTGCACTTCTCCGACCCGAAATCCCACACGCGAAGCTCTGCAAAGCCTAGTTATCCCCAACCACCCTTTCTTCTAATGCAAATGGGATTGCCACCCTTGGGTTTTGAGGGTATGAATCCCGAAATTTCTCTGTTACTGAAGCCTAGCGACAGCGTGGCCAGAGCGTCCAGCACGGCCCGTCCGGCCGATGCGGTGGACATAGTCCTCCATTCCACCTGGCAAGAGGCTTCTTGGGCATTAGTAGGGAATATGGGGATATATCATCTAGGGATCATATTCCCTTATTCCCTAAAACCCGGTAAGGAGGGGGCCTAAAGGTTTGCACTCGATCCTATAAGCCGCTACAAAATCCAAATTTTCGTTTAATTCTCCATGATTGGGATAACACCCTTCTTTTGCGCTAGGGTAATCTCCCTGAACCCTACCCCAATCCCGGTAGAGCCATTCCCTCTTGAAAGCCGGGAAGGTGTATGGTTGTTGAGGTCAGGGAAGCTTGGGGACCCTAAACCCTAAACCCTTAAATTGTTGTTGAGGTCAGGGACGCCCGGGGGATGGTCGCAAGTCCAGTTGAAGGCAAGCCACAAACTGAGCGAATGATTACATGACAGACTGAGCCCCGAACTCCAAACTTAACTTTAAGTCTGTTCCCGTAGACCCATAATAATAGTAATATTAGTGACAATCAAGTAGTAATAGTAGTAATACTCATGATAATAATAAGAAGAACAGCTTCGGGATTGCCATGGGGCCCTCTTCAGCCAAGCTTCCCGTCATGGAATCGGGGAAGTCGTAACCTTCGCACAGCTACGACTGGGGCTTTGGCAGTTGCTCGAGCATAACTGGGGGCATAACCATAGTAACAGTAGTAATAATCGTAGTAATAATAAGAATCTTTTCCTTTATCCCTATTTAAACCTATGTTACCCTAAATGAAGCAGTGGCAGCAGATAAGTGTTGCAACAAAGGGGTGGGCATTGTTTGAACTGAGCAGCACAGTCTTTAGCCATTTTCGTCTTGAGCCCAATCCCTGAATCTGAATACTCTTCAGGCGTGCTGCAAACCACCAGTGTGATGTCCTCGACATCCAAACCTTGGAGGTGTGGATCTTTGGGCTATCATTGCTGCATCCGATTGAGGACACTTAAGCTTCTGACTTTCAGGAGCCTCATAGCACCCATAGGGTTTATGCGGAGGCTCACGGGTATGGCTGCTGGGGACAAGTTTATGTTACAGGGAGACCAAGCCTTTTGGGGATCAAACCGTACTTGCCCTATTAAACGACCAGAATAAGATTTAGTGCCCCGAGAGCATGACAGGGCTCAAAACTGCAGGGAAGTCTAGACAGGTATGAAATCCGGCAGCCCCAAAACATGAACAACTTCTAAACGAGAAGAAGACCATTGCAAACAGTAATAACAAGAATACAGCATTCACTTATTCTACATAACAGTAGCTCTCTTCCCCAATTACCAGGGCCAAAAAAGTTGAAAGTTTAGTATAAAGACCAAATAAGGAAGGCCCAAAAGATTAAAGTTCTTCCATTGGCTAAATGAGGTAGGTAATAACAATAAGAATAGGAATAACAATGGTGATAATAGAAGCAACTACACAGTTGTTTATACAGGCGCTGCTCAGCCACCACGCGTGGCAAAAAAAAATCATGCCCTTCATCCCCCAAATTCCATGGCTTAAGTAAGATCTCAAGGGGGCTGTGTAGGATTGCAGTGGGTTTGGGGGGTATATTGAGTGCAAGATTAATTTCAAACCCCGGGCTTCAGCAATAACTGAAATCATGTTCGTGATCTTACATCATCTTCAAGGTTTACTCCTGCGTTGGAAGGAATTGGGCTCTGTCGGTCAGCACTTGTGCGATTTTGCCTCAAACCAAGAGTGACTATCCTCACTAGGAATGGTGGAATCCACTGACCCCAAGCTTGCACACACCCACGTGGCTTCCTTTGCAATGCCGAAAACAAGCCCCGGACAAATTGTCATATGAAGGAGGCTAGCTTTTGCAGCTGCCAACCAGCTTTTCCTAGCTTCCTAGCAAAAGCCCCCCAAACCCTCAAGGAGTTTCCGAATTGCGTGTCATAACAGCGCAGATGGTAAGCGTACGGAAGTCTTTCCATGTACGATCGCAACCTTAAATTCTGCGTCACACTCAAGATCCTGACTGATGAGGCCTAGCGAGACTAAACAGACCTTACACCTCAGGCACACCAGAAAGTAAACACCGCATGAGCCCTGCAGTAGCTTGGGCCACGCGCCTCTAGCCGCTACATCAGTGGCTACCAGAGTCTTCGAGGTGCCAGCCGTGAATTCCTGAGCCACATGCAGGCATCAATGTAACTTGTTCGTGGTAGTGGTGCAATTCATGCACGGTGCCCTGTAGCTTTTGCGGGTATTATTTTCAGGGTTCACCGTGTCCTTTTTGCAGTGGCTTTAACATCTTTCCACGCATTGAACAACCAACTTGCTCATTTACAAAAGGGAGACTTTGACACCAGCTCACATAAGGCTAAAGGGGGGAATCGGAAAGAAAATGGAAACTGTTCCTTGCAGGCGCTCCAGAACCCAGAACTTTGGTGGCAACTTTGGGGCCGCAAAACGAAACAAGCTACGCCACCCTGCTAAGCTCGGAAATGGGTATGACGGTCGTGCGATTCCTGTTCTAGCCACATGACTGCCTATTCCGAACCTTTACACCATAGTAACAAAGTGACGGTCAATACCAAGATGCAGCTAGAGCCATTGCACGTTCTGCCTGGCAGCAAGGCAGAATGGACTCTGGTTTGCCGCTTTGATGTTCAGGCCTTGAAAGCAGTGTGGATTTTGCTGTGGAGCTCTTCGGGACGGAGGTTGGAGGCACACGTGCTTTGGCAACTAGTACTTCTCTGTCATAAAAAGAGGATATGGTCTTGTACTAGGAGTCTGACCGTGTCCACTTTGAGCCTGACATCTACAAAGTGAATTGCCGGATAAAGCCCAAATTCTCCACAATCACCCAGGCTCAAGTGAAATCACGGCCTGTGGCCAGGATGTTCTGAAAGTTTTTCTTGGCAGTCCGCATGCCAAAACTCAAAAGTCCACTTCAGCACATCCAAGGGACTTGTGCCACACATCATATTCTATATGCCAAGTGATGGGTAGACCTCCCTACGCAGAAACCTACGAGAATCATTGTCGCATCCCCTACAGAAGGTTGGGGAAGCAAAGCTTATCATGGGCTCATGTAACCTCAACGTGCAGCATCGCACTCATCAGGCAATTAACCAACTTTGCATTCATCGGGGCTGTTGCGCTGATTTCTTGGGATTGCATGTGGTTCGCTGCTCTGGCATCCCTTGCATACCCCTCCCGAATCATGACCCTCGACCCCGAATGCAATCAATAGATTTCCGCCAATCACATGATTATAGGTGTCCTATGCTTGTATTTGACATCCGGCTGATGCTACAAATCCTGCGCGACCCTAAATACCTCAAACTCCGGGACTTATGATACTAGAACTCTATGATATACCAAGGCCATGCAGGCTCAGGGTAATTGAGAATAATCTCAGTTCCCAATTTGAGGCCATGTCGGTAGTCTTTCCCATACAAACCTAATATCAACAGTCCCCTGCATACCCCCAGCAGTAAGCCTGCGTCAGGTTTCCGTGGATTTCACCGCACGGCACCTGGGTTCACTGCATTGTACGCAGTTGAGGATAAACCAAGACTTCAAGTCGTCGCAGGAATGACTCACTTTTGTCCTTGATGATCCTGAGGGAAACCTCAACTGCACTCCATTCTTACCACATACAACACATCCAGCGGAGACTGATATTGTGCTTGGGGGCGCATTTCTTGACACTCAAGGACCCTTAGGGCTGAAACAAAAACCA